TGGCCATGCTGCTCATGTCACCTAACTAAAATTATAAGGAATCATGTCAACAGCGAGAGCAGTGTTACAAGACGCACGATTTTTTAGTTCTTTCAGTCGCATCATTAAAAATCAATTTTAATTTTATTTAATTTTATTTACCACCGAGAAATTCATCTTTCGCCATTCTGTTTGATTATCAAAACGTATCACCATCTTTTGTACGCCACTCGGCACGTTTATATACAGCACATTATTTAAAATGACAGTAAGTATAAAAAAATTTGCTTTTAATAAGGCCATAATCTGCGTTGGTTGAATTCTTCTAAGCGGTCTAGGATGATGTCTCTGAATATCCTTCCAAATACTTAAATTTGTTAAATGTCCTAAAACTTGTTTTTTATCTTCATATCATTTTATGTCTGTATTTAGTTCTCTAACTTTTATACCAAACTCTTCAATTCTACGTCTATTCTCTTCGCTAGATATCTCAATACTGACTATTCGGAGGATGGACTTACGTTAGACTGCTCAACCAACCTGGCTGTAGTAGTAGTTAGTTTAGTTGAAATACGAAACGTCGAACAAAAACGTCAAACGAAAACGTCAAACGAAAACGTCAAATGAAAACGTCAAACGAAAACGTCAAACGAAAACGTCAAACGAAAACGTCAAACGAAAACGTCAAACGAAAACGTCAAACGAAAACGTCAAACGAAAACGTCAAACGAAAACGTCAAACGAAAACGTCAAACGAAAACGTCAAACGAAAACGTCAAACGAAAACGTCAAACGAAAACGTCAAACAAAAACGTCAAACGAAAACGTCAAACGAAAACGTCAAACGAAAACGTCAAACTAAAACGTCAAACGAAAACGTCAAATGAAAACGTCAAACGAAAACGTCAAACGAAAACGTCAAACGAAAACGTCAAACGAAAACGTCAAACGAAAACGTCAAACGAAACGTCAAACGAAAACGTCAAACGAAAACGTCAAACGAAAACGTCAAACGAAAACGTCAAACGAAAACGTCAAACGAAAACGTCAAACGAAAACGTCAAACGAAAACGTCATACGAAAACGTCAAACGAAAACGTCAAACGAAAACGTCAAACGAAAACGTCAAATGAAAACGTCAAACGAAAACGTCAAACGAAAACGTCAAACGAAAATGTCAAACGAAAACTTCAAACGAAAACTTCAAACGAAAACGTCAAATGAAAACGTCAAACGAAAACGTCAAACGAAAACGTCAAACCAAAACGTCATACGAAAACGTCAAACGAAAACGTAAAACGAAAACGTCAAACAAAAATGTCAAACGAAAACGTCAAATGAAAACGTCAAACGAAAACGTCAAACGAAAACGTCAAACGAAAACGTCAAACGAAAACGTCAAACAAAAACGTCAAACGAAAACTTCAAACGAAAACGTCAAACGAAAACGTCAAACGAAAACGTCAAACGAAAACGTCAAACGAAAACGTCAAACGAAAACGTCAAATGAAAACGTCAAACGAAAAAGTCAAACGAAAACGTCAAGCGAAAAAGTCAAACGAAAACGTCAAACGAAAATGTCAAAAGAAAACGTCCAACGAAAACGTCAAACGAAAACGTCAAACAAAAACGTCAAACGAAAATGTCAAACGAAAACGTCAAATAAAACCGTCAAACGAAACCGTCAAACGAAAACGTCAAACGAAAACGTTAAACGAAAGCGTTAAACGAAAGCGTTAAATGAAAACGTCAAACGTCGAACGAAACGTCGATTTTTCTCTTCAATCTTCATCTATACTACGTTCTCTACATAATGCCGTTTTTTCCCGTTTAAATCGGACCAATAGCAATAAAGATACACGTTAAGGCCCGTCTGGCTTTTCGTTTTGCGCATGTTTTTTCTCTTTAACGTTAATCTATACCACGTTCTCTACATAATGCCGTTTTTCCCGGTTGAATCAGACTAATAGCAATAAAGATACACGCTAAGGTCCTTTTGGCAATCGCATAATTTTTCTGTTCAACGTTAAAAGAGATTTAATTTCCCCCACTCCCCCCACTTCCCCACTCCCCCGCTTCCCCTCACTCTGTCTCATTCTTACCTACTGAATTTGTACCTCTCACTCTTACACATTGAATTCCCTATGTGGTCCCGTGTCTGCTTTGTCTATCTACTATTATCATAGAAATAACTATGACTATTATCGTATTTGTACTGAAAAAAGTTGAAGATTCCCAATTTTTCGGAATTTTTATTTTCCAACATACGAGCTAGATTGAATTTCTGTTGCATACACAGGTTTTGTAATATATTATTACATACGTACAATTAAAAATATTTTTTATTACAAGGTGATTCACAAATGTATGACGGTAGTTTTTTGCAAAATCTCACTAATTCTACTGTGACGTCAGGGAAACATATTTTCAAAAAATACTACTCAATATGATATTTTGTCGACCAAATATTGCACAAAACACATTTCTTATACAGGGTGTTTTATAGTGAGAACCACAAAATAAAATTATTTTTTTTAAGGATTACTTCAAAACCCTGAACTTATGAATTGATTTTTGAAAAATTAAAATATGTCTAAGCTTCAAAATATTTGTTGGAAGATATTCTATTTTAATATAAGTACCAAAACCAGTAACACCCTAAAATTTCCCTGGTCAAATGTAACCATTTTCTCGGTATATAATACTTTTTTTAAATCCGATACTATGACCAGTTTTAGAGACACAGGGCGTTAAAGTGGAGAATTGCTGATTTTAGTTTATTTTTAAACAAAATATTGGGGTTTCACAATGACAGAGAATATAGATCTCAGTACAGATGTAGATAAAAACTTTCAGTGTTTTAGAAAGGTATAGGTATAGAAAGGTATAATATACCGAAGACTTTATTACACACCGAGGTGGGAAGAGTTTCATTCCTGTCGTGAGATTAGTTAGATCACCGAGACTCGAAGCGTCGAGGTTAGCTATGATCTCGAGACAGGAATTAAACTTCCTACCGAGGTTTGTATACTATTTTATTTACAACCATCATATTTCGATCAAAGTTAATAAATCTCTGTTTTGTTCTGAACATACCTAAAATATTACATTTAACGACAAATTACCAAGCGCGCGGTTTTCTCAGAATAATCAAGTAGGTAAATATATTGTTACTGTGATTACGGGGTAAACAACTGTCACCAATATAAATAAATGTCAGATAAAGACGGATATTAAATACGCGAATAATAAATATCAATAAGTAGTTTGTTTTATTTTAGATCATTGTTGTTTTTTATTGTTTGCCATTAAATAGGTATTATAAAATTTTTCAAACACTGTGTTATTTTTTTTTTTAAATATAAAAAATATTCATCTAGAATAGATGAAATGAGGACGGGAAGTGAGGGCGGGAAGTGAGGGCGGGAAGTAGAGGTGTGTAATGTGACACTTCCCAACCTTCAATGACGTTAGTAATGACAACATTACATATATGGTTGTAAATAAAAGTTTTTTACCTACATCTGTACTGAGATCTATATTCTGTCACTGTGAACGCCTAATATTTTGGACAAAAGCCGCCACTGGTTTAAAATAATTGTTTTAGGGTGCTTCACGAATAAATCGCAATATATTTTTGCAAACACTCAATAACTACAGTTGCGCCACAGACAAATTATTTCATTGAGTTAATGTATTTTTATAAATACAGGGTGTTTGTACAATAAATGAATTATTAGATTTACTACATTTAAAAAAAATTATTCACACCACACAACTTTTATTTAATTATAACATATTTTTAATATGCGTTAATAACGAAGATTAAGGGCGAATAATGTATAATGAATTAATAATATCATGTACGTGTATGGTCCAAGAAATTCTACATGTCTTTTAGATTATAATCACAACATTAATGTTACTATTAATTAGGGGAGAAGAATCAGCTGAACTACTTGAACCTAGAAAAACAAAAATAGGCGTTTTGGGGTTAGGAAGTTCAATACCTACACCACCCGAAGGTATACAAGCTGAGCTAATAGTTGTGCGAACTTTTGATGAACTAAACGAGCCAGCTGTATCTGCAGCTGTCAGAGGTACCAACAATTTTAAATACGTTTCTAATAAAAACTATTTTCTAATAATATATTTAAATTTTAGGAAAAATTGTTGTTTTTAACAATGATTACATTACTTATGGAAAATCTGTGATATACAGAAATCAAGGTGCTACCAAAGCTGCCAAACTCGGTGCTGTAGCAGCACTTATAAGATCTGTGACGCCATATTCCATGTACACTCTCCATACCGGACAACAATCTTATCAGAAAGGAGTTAAGAATATTCCTGTGGCTTCAATTACCGTTGAAGATGCTAGAATGTTACAAAGATATCAGGTAATGAGTAGTTTATTTATGTTATTAGTAGTTATACATTACAGATATACAAAATCTAAAAATTTTAAAATAAATCAAAATGTAGACTCTGTTCCAAGAAAAGTAGATAAAGCTTCGTTACAGCAGTATGTAAATGGTTACCCTAATTCTAAGCAGTTCTTCAAATTTTATTTCTTTCAGTAGCCTCTTTTTTTTGGTCTATTTTTAATTTTGATATAATTATGTATTTTGTTCACTCGTACGCACATTAGGTATGAGGCACGGGTAAAATTAGATTGCGCCAACTGTGTATTAAAAATGAATTTTTATATATTTTTGGTTATTTGTGTTTTAGGACAAAGGCGCCAAAATGGTACTCAAACTCCACCTGCACTCCGAGACATTTCCTGACACAACATCCAGAAATGTGGTAGCCGAAATTAAGGGATCCCAAAAACCGGAAAAAGTCGTGATAGTTTCAGGTCACATTGACAGCTGGGACGTAGGGGTAGGTGCGTTGGATGATGGATGTGGTGCTTTTATTTCTTGGTATGCCCTAGCACTGCTGAAAAGTCTTAATTTACAAGCTAAAAGAACAGTAAGGTGAGTTAAATCCCAAATTGTTTTTAAATATTCCCATATGGCCATCATATCCACTCTTGTAGCACAAACTACTTGTTTTAATTTTATTTACTTCCATGAAATAATTATTTTAGGGCTGTTTTGTGGACAGCTGAAGAACCAGGTTTAAAGGGAGTTATTGAATATGACAGAGCGCATAAACATGAATTGGAAAACTTTACTTTTATTATGGAATCAGATGAAGGTGTATTTACCCCTCTAGGTATTGAGTATGCTGCTGGTAAAAAGGGAGGATGTGTAATAAAAGAAATTGTAAAGTAAGTATATTACAAGACAAATCATCATTATTATCATCTCCATCTATTTTCATAGGCGACGCCAACCATGGGCGTCGTTTGGGGGAGGGGCAAGAGAGGGCAGTTTCCCCCCTGGCTTTTACGACTTAATAAACAACGCGTAAGATATGCATTACGAATAACAACCTCATAGAAATAATAATATTCAGGCTAATATAGTTGAAGAATATTATAGATTGAATATATTTATTGCATATCTGGATTCCCCTACGTCGCTTACATCACGCTTTTCCGAAGACTTTGTTAGTTTTTCCTTAAGCCTGTTACATCCCAAAAACATAAAAAAAATACTTTTTTCACTACCGAATAGAAAAGGAAAGTAGTGGAAAAATTTGGAATCGACAATTTTGAGCTTTCTGCTCACAATGAGCTCTCCATTAATGATATAGCGTCCAAACATTGTGAATTTTATCCAGACATACAAAGTGGTTTAAAAATTATTTATGGCTCTTCCATCAACGACAGAGTTAATCGAAAGAACGTTTAGCACGCTTAGGCATGTTAAAACATGACTGCGGTCTATTCTATCAGTGCGAAGTCTTGGTAGGGGAAGCAAAAGTAATACTAGCGTAAACTGCGGATAATTCGAGTACTTTAGGGCGATATTTTGTAATTTTGGCGTATCAAATACACGTATACATTTTACTTTTTACTAAAAAAATAGGTTAAAAACAATAAAATGAGCAACCGGAGTTGCTATGCTGCAAATTATACTACCAAAAAAACTGTAAATTATATAAATTTTCAGTAGCAAAATCGAAATTAAATTAAAGAAATAAATGGATAGCTGTATAATAATGTATTTTTGTAATACTGGAAATAATAGACATCAGAAAAGGTTTTAAATAAACAATAAATTATTATTTTATGATATTCTTCAACATCCCTTAAATCTTAAATGTTTAGCAAATGATTAGATTTCTGCCTTAGATTATTGTATATGGCTGAAATGCAATCTTGTGACTTATTGATAGGAAACCAGTTTTAATCATTCATTTCTATGGGTTCTCTCGTGCTAAAAATGAAGAAAATATAAATTACAATCACAAATATACCAATTATTTTTGTTAATACTATTTAATTCCACGTTATTATATTATAATGGTAATGTTTTTATTTTGACATTATTTAACCTATTCTTCAATTACAACTCATTAGGCTTAGGCAAGATCTCATACATTTTCTCGCAAATACCTGCCTATGTTTCATAATTGATTTTTATTGATTATACTACTTTTTTTTAGCTGAAGTAATAAAAATATATAATAATAATTTTTTCACTTGTTTTACAAATCCATATACTTTCATTAAAATTAACATATATTTTTTAATTACGAACTCATTAATTACGTTCATAAAATAGTTGGCGCTGTTCTCACGCACGGAGCGAATAATGAATGATAATAGGCTGACTGAAAAATAAATTATGTTTTCTGTTATCGATGTTTTTAGTAGAGAAAAAAGAAATTTAAAATTTGCGTTTTCCTAGTGTTTTATTGTATTTATCGTCGTGTTTGAGTGAGTTTTTGTTTTTTTATAAATTTTTATTTTTTATATTATTATGTATGGCTGTGTCTTCTTGTTCATATTTTTCTTTTATATCACACCTTCTGTTTGTTTTTTAAAAATGTGTTTTAAGTTTCTTGTTTTTCTTTATTTTAGCTTTTTTTTTGTTGGGTTATTTTATTTATTAGAGACTTGTTATGACAACTTAAGTATCAGTTCTGTCAAATGGGTCAGTGACATTATAAGGGTTACAACTAAAGTTCCACTACCCTTTATCTTCGCTATTTTGTGAGATATCAGAATAATTTTGTTCTGTTTGAAAGACTAGAACAAATACTTTCTTATGATGGATTCAATTGTTCTATAACGTCATGGATTACTTCCGGTTTTTCCGGAAATTACAGAAAATCGATTTTTTTAATTTTAAAAGGAAACCCTCTTTTTTATTGTAAATTTAAATTTCCGGGACATTTTTGTATAATAATCGTGTATTGACAATTTTCTGTCAGCTGTCAAAATGACCATCATATTCGAAAATATTTTTTTTAATATGTTACTGACAGAAAATTTTCAATACACGCTTCTTATACAAGAATGACCCAGAAATTCAAATTTTTAAAAATAAAAAATAAATTGTGATTTTCTGTTATTTCTAGAAAAACCGGAAGTAAGCCATGACGTCACAGAATAATTAAATCCATCATAAGAAAATTCTCTTTTATTTTTCATTTTCTTTGTTTTCCAACAAATAAACATTCTAAATTTTTTCATAATTTTGCCCCTCCCTATAGAATTGTGTAACGACGCCCATGACGCCAACTATGTGTATTGTTGTCAAATACTTTATTCTATTCTGTGTTTTTTTAACCTCTATTAGGCATTCCAAACTGAATGGCTACAGTGGGTTCTGACGGGTTATGATTTGGCAAAATTATGGCAACCCTGTAGGCCTGGTGATTTGACAAGGTCAATGAAATAGATAGTTACATAGATTGATCATCCATATTTTTCAAAATAAACATAAGCTTATGCCTTGAAGTAAAAATGTAAGCAATTATTTTTTTTTTAAATATCTAAAGGCTAAAAATTGGTTTTAAAACACATTTTTTCTAAACCGATTCAAATTAATAAATATTTGCCAGGCAATATGGCCGCTCGTAAACGACCAGCTTTGAGCAATCTATATAACTATATATGTATCATTGACCCTGTTAATGACAACATGACAACAGGGTTGCCATATCTAAACTGTCATTACCCACTGGTAGCCATTTGGACAGGTCGTTGGAATGCCTAATAGGCCTTTTCATCACTTTTTTTTTGTGCGCATGCGTAAGCATCAGTCATCTTTTTCGTACTGTTTTTGTAAACAAGCATGTTAAAATGACCACGTGAAAAAAATAATCGATAAATATTAAGTATATTCATTTAAAAAAAGGAAAACAAAGCAAAGTAATAATAAGTTTAGCGTCTTAGTTGAAAAATACATTTTTGCAATCAATTAGAATACTTATGTTATCTGTACGGACAGGAACAACGAAACGGTGTTGTTATGGAGTATGTAAAAGTAACACACGGTATAAATCATTTAATCGTTATTTTATAAATTTTCCAAAGCCTTGACTGCAATATCGTAAAAAATTATCAAATTATCAGGCAAAATCCATATTAAAACATGTTCAAAATGTGCATTAGGTGTGAAAAAATGTGGTCGAAGTGACAACGGTTTTTGATCGATTGATAATGTTACTAAAGATTCTTATATTTGTTTACTACATTTTCATGGAGAAAGTGGTCCAACAGAAGAAAATTCTTATCTGGTATTACACAATATTTTTTTAATAATAAATACTACTTCGATACAAAATATTAAATAATGTATTTTATTAATTATACTCGTGATTAACTTTCATGTTAATTAAAGTATTTTTGCAAGTACTAATAGTTGGTTGGCATAATTAATTAGAATAGAGTTATAATTATTATTTGTTTTCATTAATTATTTACTCAGTTAAGAAGTATTGATACACCTAACCTCTCAATCAATCCACTTTTTTCTTTTGTAACAAACGTCCAAGACACTTCAATCACCTTTTCAACTGCTTACAACTATGTGCTTCCACAGAGTTATAAAAAAGTGAATCACCATCAACGATTTTTTCTAATGATTGATTTGTCTGTAGGGATAATATTGCTTTCCCAGCCATTGTCGATCAAAACAGTACGAAATATTTGAATTACCGCTATTTCAACATGGCGGCTGCGCTTGCGCTCATCACATGATGAAAAGGCCTATTAGCATTTTTTCTTACAGAAGGTCTGTTCCAACAACGATCAAAAACTGACACCAGGATTCTGCGCAGTAAAAAATTAGGAGTTCCCAATAATCTACTGCGCAGAATCCTGCCGTCAGTGACTAGTTTCTGATCGTTGTTGAAAAAGACCTAAACGTATCTAATTCGTATTCGAAAATTTAATAGAAACTGGATACTATAAATACATTTTTTATTCGAGATATGACGGCATCATCAGTTATAGGACCAAAAATTATAATCTTCTTTCTATATCACAATCTTGTCTTTTTTAGATTATTGGCTCCAATAAACGCCACCTACACCAAATCCTACGATTCAGTAAGCTCCGATATCACCATTTGGGCTCAACAGATACCGACAGGAAGTCTTTACAACAAGAACGAAAACTACTTCTGGTGGCATCATTCAGCGGCTGACAGATTGGACCTCATCGTGCCAGACAACTTAGATAAGGGTACTGCCGTTTGGGCATCCGTAGCCTATATTATTGCCGATTTAAAAGACGAATTTCCTAGGGAGTTCAATGATATCTCGACGCTTTCCAATGTTAAATTAATAGAGAAGCTTAAAGAAACTTTCAAGCAGAAGTATACATGATCTTCAATAAACAAGTGTCCGTGTCAAAACATTTAAATCAAATGTTTTTTTATTTTATCTTGTTATCCCTTATGAAAGGTGTATTTAATGTACTGCGTATTAGGCAGTGAGTAAAGTTAATAGTATTAAATTTTATAATCTTTCTTATTTTCATTTCTTACCTATTGACACACAGAGAAATATATAATAATAATAATAATAATAATAATAATAATAATAATAATAATAATAATAATAATAATAATAATAATAATAATAATAATAATAATAATAATAATAATAATAATAATAATAATAATAATAATAATAATAATAATAATAATAATAATAATAATAATAATAATAATAATAATAATAATAATAATAATAATAATAATAATAATAATAATAATAATAATAATAATAATAATAATAATAATAATAATAATAATAATAATAATAATAATAATAATAATAATAATAATAATAATAATAATAATAATAATAATAATAATAATAATAATAATAATAATAATAATAATAATAATAATAATAATAGATAGTAGTTTATTGACCTTTTTTTATACATGAATTGTACATTTAGTCAGTTATACAAATATAATAAAAATTATTAAAACCTAAAATAAAATACATTGTAGTCAAATATATAGTACATGCAGTCAATAACATTAAAATGAGAACTACAGAAGTTTAAAAGCATAAAATTTACAATTAAAATAAATTATTTACAATGACAGACATATTCATTTACGCTATAAAAACACTCAGACAGAAGAAAGTTCTTTACAAATTTTTTAAACTGATATATTGACATAAGGTTTACATTTCTATGTTTATGAAAATGTATCAGTTTATTATAGAGACCAAGATCGAGTTTGTTCTTTTTTGTCACACATATTCGTGATGGAGGAAGCACAAGATTTTCCGCATTCCTTGTATTATAGTTATGTATATTTACATGAGAAATAAGCTCTTTTTTATTTTTATGGATTTCTAACAATGTCTCTAATATATAAATACAAGGCACAGGGAGAATCTTGAGCTTTTTAAATATTGATCTGCAAGGAGCATCATACTCTGCGTTATCCAAGATGCGTAATGCAGCTTTTTGTAAGATGAAAACTTTGTGAGCTGTAGTTGAATCTCCCCAGAGTATGATTCCATATTGCAAGTGACTATGCACTAATGCAAAATAAGCTGTTCTCAATACATAATCATTTAAAAATCTAATCTGTCTTAAAGCGAATACTTGTGATGAAACCTTGGCACAAATTGTATTTATGTGCGCCGCCCAGTTCAGCCCTGCATCCAATGTTATTCCTAACAGTTTAACCGGCTCAGACTTAGCTTTTATTTTACTTGATGTAAATGTAATTTTTTGTGACTTAGTGTCGTTTAATTTTAGCTTATTAGTGTCAAACCATTTTTTTACAATATTCATACAATCAACCTCCGTATTTAATTTGTCCTTTGTTATTACAGTGGTATCATCTGCAAATAGAACCGTATTGCCATTAACTATATTGGAAGGTAAGTCATTAACGTATATTAGAAAAAGCACTGGACCCAGGACTGATCCCTGCGGAACTCCTCTGATGACTGGAGCTAGCTTAGAATCAATATTTTGATAATTCACATATTGTATTCTGTTAGTTAAGTAAGATGAAAATAAATTTAGTTCCTTTCCCCTAATTCCGTAGAATTCTAATTTTTCCAATAGAATGTTTATATTTACACAGTCAAAGGCCTTGGTCAAGTCACACAACGTTGCCGTTGCGTTTGTGCCCTGATCAAGACCCTCAACTATGCTTTCTATTACTGTCAACAACGCATCTATTGTAGATCTGTGTTTTCGGAAACCAAATTGCTGTGTTGAAATTATGTTTTTGTTTTCAAGATAACTTACCAACTTTTCTTTTAAAATAATTTCAAATACTTTTCCAACAAGAGGTACAATGGTAATTGGCCTGTAGTTATTAGGTTCGTTAATATCGTCTTTCTTATGTAGTGGTAACACTTTACTGATTTTTAAAACATTAGGCCAGTTGCCCTCTAGGGTACACTTATTAAATAAAATAGTGAGTGGTTCAACTAACGATACTAAAGCAGCTTTGAACATTGGACCACTTAATCCGTAATAATCTAAGCAATTTGAATTTTTTAAATGCAAAATGGCTTCCTTGGTGTCCGATTCTAGGATTGTTGTCATAAAAAATGAACCCAACGGTTTCCGAATTTTATTTAAATAAAAATTTGGATTTATTAAATTCTCATCAACTGTACTAATAACTTTTTCCGATATTGTGACAAAAAAGGAATTGAAAGTTTCCGCGCTTAAGTTGCCATTCTTCTGTATTTTTGTATGTTTCCTTTCGTCATTCACTAACTTCCAGATCGTTTTGGTTTTATTTTCAGATTCTGCTATTTTTCTTTCGCATGTTCTTCGTTTTTCTTTTCGAATAGCCTGCTTGTATTTTTTTTGTGTATCGCGATAAGTTAGCCAGTCATTAAAAGAATTTGTTTTTAGAAATTCAGATTTATTTTTAAAAACTTCTTTACGTTGTTTCTTTAATTCTTTATTGAACCACTCATTATTTTTTAAATGTCTAATTTTACAGCTTTTTATTGGGAAACACAGATCAACTCCAGCGCGCAGTACTTCCAATATTTGTGCCGAAGTTTCATCAGAGTTTAGTATATCTAATTCATAATCATGCCAAATTATTTCACTTAAATTTTTTGCAAATTGACAAATTTTATTTTTATTTACTACTCTCTTTGTCTCGTATTTTGTATCACGTATACTTTTATCACTATTTAAAAACATATATACACCAGAGTGATCCGATAAGTCGGGATCAAGAACGCCCGTGAGCAGGTCAGAAGGACTTACATTTGTTATGACATTGTCTAGACATGATCGTGAGTTAGATGTGATTCTGGTAGGAACATGAATGTAATGGTTCAGTCCATACATACCAAATATATTACACAAATCATTTGTATGCTCGGTGTTTCCATTCAAATTAATATTTATATCTCCAATTAAATTTATGAATTTATAGGAAAGGGACATACTGTATAATAAACTTTGAAGTTTGTTTTTAAATATGTTAATGTTCCCTTGACTAGATGACCTATATGCCGTTATAAGAATGCTATTTTTATTTACTAATTCTACTGCACAAAATTCTGCATGAAATGACACACAAAATTTGGAGCAATCTACATGTTTTAAGTCTACTTTTTGATTAGTGTATATTGCCACTCCGCCATGTTCATTTTCATTACGGCAATAAGATGAAATTAAATTATAACTATTTAATTTTATAACTGACAAATTTTCTTTCGTAAGCCAATGTTCTGATAAACAGATTATATCAAAAGAATAATTTTCAAAAAGTAGATTTAATTCTAATACTTTATTAGCTAAACTTCGTATATTAATGTGAAATACCGAGCATAAATTATTTTGGGACAGATAATAACTAATTGAATTATATAGATTATAACATGGATCTAGTAACTCTTCGTGATCGAAAAAAACGGTTTAGTACTACTCCATATGGCCAAATGCTACTATCCAATATAGCCTGGGATTCAGTTATAGGCACTGAGATCTTAAAAGATGCATAAACATTCGGATAACGAGCATTTAGCTTTTCAACCATAACATTAGGTGCAATAATAATAATAATAATAATAATAATAATAATAATAATAATAATAATAATAATAATAATAATAATAATAATAATAATAATAATAATAATAATAATAATAATAATAATAATAATAATAATAATAATAATAATAATAATAATAATAATAATAATAATAATAATAATAATAATAATAATAATAATAATAATAATAATAATAATAATAATAATAATAATAATAATAATAATAATAATAATAATAATAATAATAATAATAATAATAATAATAATAATAATAATAATAATAATAATAATAATAATAATAATAATAATAATAATAATAATAATAATAATAATAATAATAATAATAATAATAATAATAATAATAATAATAATAATAATAATAATAATAATAATAATAATAATAATAATAATAATAATAATAATAATAATAATAATAATAATAATAATAATAATAATAATAATAATAATAATAATAATAATAATAATAATAATAATAATAATAATAATAATAATAATAATAATAATAATAATAATAATAATAATAATAATAATAATAATAATAATAATAATAATAATAATAATAATAATAATAATAATAATAATAATAATAATAATAATAATAATAATAATAATAATAATAATAATAATAATAATAATAATAATAATAATAATAATAATAATAATAATAATAATAATAATAATAATAATAATAATAATAATAATAATAATAATAATAATAATAATAATAATAATAATAATAATAATAATAATAATAATAATAATAATAATAATAATAATAATAATAATAATAATAATAATAATAATAATAATAATAATAATAATAATAATAATAATAATAATAATAATAATAATAATAATAATAATAATAATAATAATAATAATAATAATAATAATAATAATAATAATAATAATAATAATAATAATAATAATAATAATAATAATAATAATAATAATAATAATAATAATAATAATAATAATAATAATAATAATAATAATAATAATAATAATAATAATAATAATAATAATAATAATAATAATAATAATAATAATAGGGGGGGTGGGTTGGCTCAGTGGTTAGAGTCATGACTTTGAGATCGGAAGGTCTCAGGTTCGAATCCCACCGTTGGCCGGGATTTTTTCATTTAATTTAATTATTTAAAATTAATTCTGATGCCTTGGTAGGATTCCCCACTCGACCATTCACTGTTGGGTTCTAATTAACAGTGCTGTTCCTAAAGTGGCGCTGGGAAAACAGTAACAAAGCCTACACAGAACACGAGGCTAATGGCCATA